GGGAGCGGAAAGGTTCATTGCTCTCTTGTCGTGGGTTCCGGCTCTTTCTGGATCGACTGATTAGAGACGGGGATGGTGGAGGTCTAAGCACTACACTGAGTTCGGGACTCAGGAGTGGGGGCTTAGAGTCCAAGTTTGGATGGGGACTTGGACCCCTTCACAGAAGAGTGGTGGGTTGGTCTTGTTTATGCCTGGGGTATAAGCGGGGCATGTGTTTCGGGGTACCCAGCTGGGATACATCGGTTCATGAATCGTCATGTGATACGGTATGACTTGGCTATGGTCTAGCACCGTAGTAAGAACTGGAACTCGAAAGGTGATAAAATGATTCTGATTGCTTACCACCTGCTTGAAAGTAGCATATGTGCTTACATAGAATGGTTAATTAATGAACTAATGATGGCTGCTAATAAAATTAAATATAAGGACACACGTTTAGTAATGCTTTCACAGATGCAATAACCCACAAGCCAAATAAGCCTTGCATATCCTTGGAGTCTGTTATTTTCCTCCGGTCGGGTAAGTCTTGCTGAGTACAATCGAGTACTCAGGGTTTTATTCCCCCTGTTGCAGGTGATCGGAGGATACTTAGAGCTGACTCTTGTGTGGGGAAACCTCCTGGTGGGCTCAGCGGGAATTTCTTTCACTCTACGACCATAGTGTTTATTTATAACCCTCACGAAAGGTATTTATAAGAAAACATGTAAAAATCTGTTAGCATCTCTTGTATATAAATGTCCTCTATGTTAATACTCCACCATGTCATTAAATTAATCCTGATTCCTCTGTAACTCTGATAACATTGTGATATTCCATTGTTATAATAAATTGAGGTAATATTCTGGTACTGTAATAAAGTGATGTAAGAAATGACTTAAGAATGTTGTAAGCTTTATTCTCTCATTTATGATTCTGATGGCAAAATGTAGATTTTTGAGTTTTTCCTTGGGGTGTGCTCGACGGGATTGTGTAGTTTAGTGTCATCTCTTGAGTACTTAGTGTCTAATGAAAGACAAGTACTCCTGAGAGGCATTGGATTTGACAGTTCTACCACAACACGCCTCTCTTGTACCACAGGCACAAACAAGACCAACCTGTTTCACTCCTGTCAAGGGGTCTAGGTCTCCGTCCAAACTTAGACTCCAAGCCCCCAACACCTGAGACCCGATCTCAGTATGGTGCTTAGACCTCCACCTAATACCCATCCCTAAAAGCCGGTTCGAAAAGAGCCGAAACCCATGACAAGAGAGTAATAAGCCTTTCCGCTCCCATAAGCAAGTATGTGCTCAAGATAATATGTCTGTGATCTAACTACCATCCACAGTAATGAACGATCCTTAATCAACACAGGCGGGACAAATACAACCAGAGCCTCGCTCGGTTGCCTAACCAAGTCCAAATCCAAACTCAAAGTATTGTCCTGCTCGGTCGCCAATTATTATCCAAATATATTTCATGTGATAGTTATATGATAATAAGAACAATAATATCTTTCCTATCTCTCACGAGTGACAGGTAATCACTCGACTTCTATTGGAGTCCTATAGCATAGCAATCTACACGATCCTGGTATACTAGTAGGACTCATAGGATAAGGATATATATGCAAGTGGATTTCATTCAACTCCTTAAAACTTAATGCTCAAACATAAAATAAATGCAGAATAATAGAGGTTACGCACCGTGGCTTGCCTGTACAAGATATAATCAAGGATTACTATTCCATCGGGGTTACACAATCACCAAGGCACCATCTTTTCTGTTTTCCTGGTCGACTCCACGATCCATCGTTGTTCCTATTATGATATACATGGATACAACGCAGAAAACCTAATTAACCAACGGCAAGTGCAACTCTAAAATACGATTACGCTCCGCAAGCTAACGAGCTAGCTTTAATGACTAACGTACTAGTCTACGTATCCACGTCATCAAGTAAGGCTTTATCTCTGGAAAAATATTTTAGTTCTAAAATCCCAAGGTGTTTCGACATTTTATTGATTAAATATATATTTTCGAACTATGGCTCATTTAGCTACCCTAGCAAACTAATTATTATTAAGCTACAAAAATTACAGTGAGCACCTAATAATGTTTGGAATTTATTGTAAAAGTTTTAGAGCCAACACTATCACTAATTTATCACAACAATTCCTAAAAAATTATATCTTACAATATTAAGCATCTCAAATTAATTAGATAACTCCTAAAAATATTATAAAACTATGTGAACAAAATATATTAGCAGATATATCATGATTTTAGAAACCTAACAAAATTAGTTTCATAATTTTTGGCCAACTACACTAATTTATATTGCATTTATAAGTTTGTCTTAGAAACTAAATTAGAAAATGCTTAGAAAAAGGAAAAGGGACGGCAGCAACCCATTCTGGCACGGCAGCCCAACGCGGGCGCGACCTCGCGCGGGTGGCGATGGCCCAACACGGCCCAAGGCCGGGAGGCCCGCGCGCGGCAACTGCTTTGCAGAAAAGCCCCTGAGCTTCCAAAGATTAATACGACTACTATGCGCACTATTTCTACCATCAGCAACCTTGCAACCAAACCCTCGGATGTTTTCACCTTTACCACGGGGAGATCCCTGGGATCTCGGCGCGCGTCGGCGCGGCGGCCGACGGCCTAAGGCGGTTACGCCGGGCAAACCAGACTCTACGACGGAAGTAAGAAGCCGACTACCATCTATGGCTAAACACGCGAGGATGGGTGGCGGTTAGGGGCTCAGAGACGCACTAGCACGAGCTGCAGCGGCTAGAGGCTATCCGCGGCGGCGGCGTGCCAGTTCTGACGAGCTAGAGCCGCCAGAGGACTAATGCGTGAGCGAGTGAGCATAAGGAGCTTACAGCGAGCTTGCCCGTGGTGATGGTTCGGTCAGAGGCGATCTAAACAGGGCTGGCCACATGCGATCGAGCGGGGCAGCGGAGCTCCGCTATGGACATCGGCGCATCACCCCCACTGACGGCGAGCACCCTGGGCAAAATAGCGCGAGCACCGAATAGAGAAAGTCAAGGCGAACTCAGGGTTACAAGCAATTGAACTATTACCGCTCCAACATGCCTTACCCCCAATCCACATACTACGGCGACGCCCATGGCTGGCGACGAGCAAAACCTAAAATTGGCCATGGCCAGACCACCGCTGTACCCGACAAGAGTGGGGCGTCTAGGTAACTCTCCGTATTACTCACTGGTACAAGGAATTGGGCTACGAGGGCTTGAGTTGGTGATTATGAAGGGAGGTGGGCGGCGCATCGCCACTGCTACATCACGCGACACGGCCCCAGCAGAGGTGACCCGGCCACGACCCGACAGGGTACGACAACTCGGGGACATAGCCGCACGAGCAAGGGTAGGAGGCGTGTCAGTTAGTGCTTAGACGAAGCCAAGAGGGGTGCCAGGGCGCGGAGCACTTGAATGCAGTAGCCGGGCCCGAGCGGCTCACTGGCGTCGGCTACCGGGACAGCCACTGCTACAACACTTGAATGCAGCACCCGCACAGCCATCCCCCTCGACTGCATCGTCTTGGTAGGCCGCAGCGCCATCCCCTTGGATTGTGTTGTCCTGGGAGGCCGAGCACCGAAGCTGCTGGTGACCCACGACAGGGCAATGGCGATGGTCAAGGAGTTCGCGGACATGGGGAAGGTTGTGGTCAGCCACCGACACCATTGCAAACATGTGCAACACCCATCTAAAGACAGATGAAACACTTAAACATGCATCTAAAACACTTGCAAAAACACATGAAGACACTTGAAAAGTCATTGCAAAATATGTACAACATCCAAATTTAAATACTTGCAACATATGTATGCAACATTCAGATGAAACACTTGCAAACATATGAAACATTTGGAACATACATTTGCAACAAACATGTATAGCCATTGCAACATATGCAACATCTCAATCTACTTTTGTAACATCCATATATATTAAACACTTGTAACATACGTCTCAAACATTTGAAACGCTTGAAACATGCACTTGCAACATATGCTTTCAGCGCAATGTCACCTTGCTGCTTAGACGAATGAAGGCTCATCGTTACGGAGTTCGACGCCAGTGTGGAGGTCGGCGGCAGTCCATGGAGCTCGTCGGTGCGGCAGTGGCGCGGGCAACTCACCGGCGGGGTAGCGTCACACGAAGCTCCTTCCCTCGCCTGCTTGATGGAGCATCCGTTGTGGAGTCTCGTTGGCTTCGTCGAGGCAGCCGTGGCGAGCGGACAGCGCGGTGAAGAAGAAGCACGGTAGAGATTTTTTTTTTTCATAATGGGCGTGGGCGGTAGCGAGTGGGGAAGCGGACACCCTCACGAGAGCATTAGCGACTATACTATCTTCGTTACTGTGCCATGACACGTGAATAAATTCCAAGAGAGTTTGGGCCTTTATTTATGCAAAAAAGAATCCTTGGGATAGTTGACAACAAACACCACTTTACGTGACGGAAGGAACGAACTCCGTTCGTTATGTGAGCGAGAGCGACGGCTCGCCCGAATCCAGCCAGAGATCCCGACGTGCATCTTCGAAGTAATAAGTAGTAGTCAGACACGATCAAACATGGCGGCTTTATGCTTCGCGAGATTCTAGAGCGTTTATTCCGTGTCAATCAAAGAGAGTTTATACAAATTGAACATGAAAGTGCACCCGGACCCCATCTGGCAGCGGAGCAGGTACATACATGTGAATGTGAGTTAACTGTGACCCCGTTCCTGCCTTCCAGGAAAGAGCCGATGCCGCCGCACCAACTCCAAGCCGTCGTGCGGGTCAAACCCCAAGACGCCCGTCACGCGCCTCCGCGCGAGCGCTGGACTGCTCGTATAAAACGACACGCGCGCGCAGGCGGCAGCCGCTCCAACCGACCGGGGAAGTCAGACGCGTTCGGGTCAGTGAGAATTGCCCAGCAGCCCCCCGCGCGCACGCCCCGCCTGGCTTGGTGAGTCCTCGCGTTGTACGTGGCATCCCCGCCAGCGTGCCGCCCGGGACGATGGCGCCGCGCCAGCCGCTGCTCCCCAGCTTCCTCTACGCGAACGGCGGCAGGGCGGAGGCGGCTCCGGTGGTGGTGGCGGGGGCGCCGAGCGAGCCGTTCGGCAAGATCGAGATGTTCTCGCCCGCCTACTACGCGGCGGGCGCCATCGGCGGGGCCGCGGCCTGCGGGTTCACGCACGCCGCCGTCACGCCGCCGTCACGCCGCTCGACGTCATCAAGTGCAACATCCAGGTGCGTAACTGCGTGCGCTTGCATTGAGTTCACGGGAAGTCGGGAACTATCGCTTTCTTTGACCGTCCGACTACTGCCAAATTCCGTGCCGGGGTTTCGCCACGAATGTATTTCTATGTTCTTTTTGCAACAAAAAGTATCAGCCAAAATTGTGTTTCGAAGACCACACACAGCCGTCTAAAATTGTGTTTCCTTTTGATCAAATCACGGTGAGAAACTGAGAATTCTCGTTGGGCCCCGACGTCATCAATGACGCGAATACGCAGCAGATGCTAGTTGAAACTAGGCATGAACCTTATGATCAGCTTCTGGGCTCAGCTGCACTAGGCACATGGCTTGAATTGAACATGCCAAACATACATACAGTGTTCTAATTTTGGTTCCCTCCTCTGGGAGGCTGGGATCGATCATCAGTGTTCTAACAAAATTGTTCTTACTTCTGACGTGACCAAATGCAACATGGTATCGCTCGCAGATCGACCCTGCCAAGTACAAGAGCACCTCGTCGGCGTTCGGCGTGGTGATGAGGGAGCAGGGCCTCCGGGGCTTCTTCAGGGGGTGGGCGCCGACGTTCGTGGGCTACAGCGCGCAGGGCGCGTTCAAGTACGGCCTCTACGAATTCTTCAAGAAGAAGTACGCCGACATGGCCGGCCCCGAGTACGCCGCCGAGTACAAGACCCTCATCTACCTGGCGGGCTCCGCCACCGCCGAGGTCTTCGCCGACGTCGCGCTCTGCCCCATGGAGGCCGTCAAGGTCCGGGTGCAGACGCAGCCCGGGTTCGCCAGGGGGCTCAGCGATGGATTCCCCAAGATCGTCAGGGCCGAGGGCTACGGCGGGGGGTCAGCTCAACTATCTGTTTTATGCATTTTGAAAAGAAAAAAAAATGGGGTCCTGATAAGCTGAACGATGATGTTTGTGAACTGCTGCAGGCTATTCAGAGGACTGGTTCCACTTTGGGGGCGACAGATTCCCTGTAAGCATGCCTTTCTTCTTCTTCTATTCTTCAGATGCCATTCACACTGTATTTTGCACATGAGCTTTCCAAGCTGAACTTCCCCGACCTCTGTGCTGTGCAGACACCATGATGAAGTTCGCGACATACGAGAACATCGTGGAGATGACCTACAAGCACCTCATCCCGACGCCAAAGGATCAGTGTAGCAAACCTCTCCAGCTCGGAGTTAGCTTCGGGAGCGGCTACGTCGCCGGAGTCTTCTGCGCTGCCGTTTCGCACCCTGCAGACAACCTGGTTTCGTTCCTGAACAACTCCAAGGGAGCCACCGTTGGAGATGTAAGCCCACATTGCACTTTGCAGAACACAGATGAACTCCAGCTCCTCCCGACTTAACTGCTCTTTTTTACCTCTATGCAATATTGCAATCAGTAATCATTGTGCTTTTTTTTTTTTTTATGCATCAGGCTGTCAAGAACCTTGGCCTGTTGGGCCTTTTCACCCGTGGCCTTCCTCTTCGCATTCTGATGGTCGGTACCCTGACTGGCGCTCAGTGGGTGATCTATGATTCCTTCAAAGTTATGATTGGACTGTAAGTATATATGTGATCCTGTGTGTGACCGTGATTATAGGCCAACCTGTCTTGTTAAGAGGGCTAAAACAACTGGTAATTTTTGCAGGCCAACGACTGGTGGAGCGCCTGCTCCTACTACTGTCCCAGTGGAAGGACTGGGAGAGCTAAAAGCCTCTGCCTGAAGTTCAAAAGTTTGACAGAGAATATACTTCCGTCCATAGCGTATATTGGTGACTGTAGGATTGTCTCAAGCTGGTGATTTTTTTTAATAAAATAAGTTATTACTGTATGTTATGAGTACAGATTACAGAATACGACAGGCAGAAGACTAGAAGTTACTAGGCATAAAGTTGGATGCAATTTATTTGGGTTCGTACTGAATTGGCTCTCCTACGTTCATTTGATTGCACTAAATTATGTGCTCTAATGTAAATGTATTCATATTGCATACACACCATGTACTCAATGGTTTGTCTCTGTGGCATGATCTGCTGATTAAACAAACTAAGTAACAAACCAAACAGACATGCATGCCAGCAGCTAATTATAGTTAGTTCCATTCACATTTATTTTGATCAAGTTGTGTAGTAGACCCAAGATACTTTATGGTATTTAAATTAATTGTAATGTGAATCAAGTAATCTTAGTTCAAAATCCATGTCCACATCCTCAAAGCGAACACTTCTCAGGTGCACAGAATGCCTTCTTTTGGTGTTCACTAGGCTGCTCTTCTATGGATTCAGATAAAAAAAAAGGACAGACCCAGTGCCAGAGGCTCCCACATGAGCGGGGTCTGGGGAAGCAGGTCACGGGTTCGAAGCAGCCTCTCCGTAGTGATTACAAATGCCTCCCATATCAAATATATCGCGTTTGGGACAAGCTTGGTAGTGATGCCTTCCGTGAAGGTTTGAAGCACTGCGTGCTCCTAGAATTGCAAGGTCAGTGTGCAATGCAGGAAGTCCACGCTAATTGTTTGACAGAATTGTTGCTTAATCTTTTATGCTTCTGTATAATGCAGGAGCAATAGAGTTACTGAGCACAACAGTGGGTGCTAAAGAATATTACACTAAAGATTTACAATAGGCACTTTGAATAATACTCAGATCAAGATAAGCTTCCTCATAACATGTTTCTGGTACAATAAGGACCTATCTACAGAAGAACAACTAACTTGAGAATAAGCTTCAGCCATGTGCTAGACAAAAAAGTGACTACTAGTCTACTACACTCAATCAGTAAGGTCCCAGAATAGCTCAAACCAGTTTCTCATAGATGACCAAATCCTGAACTTGGACTATGAGCAGTTAAAGATCAGTAGTTCTATTACAGAAACCAAAAGGAGTCTGTAGCATGGACAGTTCCCAATGAGCATGAGTAGAAATCCTACCATCTGCCTGATAATATTGAGAATATTAAGACACTTTAAGATGTTATAGCTGAGCTACGGGGCACACTGCCACCATGTGCAGTGGCATAAGCATATGCAAGCCCAGTAACAGAGTCCTTATGAGGGTCAATCTGAAAGTCTCCTCTCCAGTTTTAGCCAATGTGTAAAAGCTCACATTTCTGTTGAGCAATCCCTTTGCCGGCAGGGCCTTCATGACACGATGCCGGGGCACTAGTCGCTGTTAGGAAACTTTAAACTCCAGGAGTAGATCTAGCGGGTAAAGCAAACATCTTTGATGTACCTTGGTAGCTAGTGCGCCCGCAGCGACCGGAAATGAAGTGCAGTCGCAGTCCCTACGGCGACGCGAGGTACAACGTCCCGGTGGTGGCACTACAGAGGCGACGGCGGAGTCGGTGGGGTTTCCCGTCGCTGGCAGCACACTTCTTTAGATCGGATTAGTGTTTCTCTGTAGGTGGTTACGGCGGCTCAGGTCAACCTCATAGTTCGAGCCCTAATCCCCACCTCTCTTTATATAGTGCTGTGCGACAAGGGCCCACCAACCATATTAGGGTTGGGCGCCCCCAATCAGGACGCAGATTCAAGGACCCATGGGCCTATTGGTGGAGATCAACTAACATTCTCCCCTTGATCTCACTACCATCTTTCAATTTCATATCATTTACTTTTGTTTATTCTATTACAGATTACCACATAGAGCATGTTTCATCGTCACGGTCAATTGCCGATAGATTTAACAGCTACAACACAGCACTCTATTCTAAAATAGATACTTAACTTTGGGTCTTCTTTTGTCTAGGAATTTTAGGCTTTCCCTTAAACCCATGCTAGCTACATGTTCTCTGAACACGTTGGGTGGTAAGCCTTTTGTAAGCAGATCCGCGAGCATCTTTTCGGTACTTATATGCTCAAGACTTATGACATGATCCCGGACTTTATCTTTCATAACATAATACTTTATGTCAATGTGTTTAGCAGCACCACTTGACTTATTGTTGTGAGCATAATGTACTGCCGGATTATTATCGCAGTATAACTTAAGTGGTCTATAGATGTCGTCAACCACCTTCAAACCGGGTATGAACTTCTTTAGCCAGTTCACATGCCCCGTTGCCTCATAACTCGCTACAAACTCGACATACATTGTGGACAATGTAGTGACGGTTTGCTTTGAGCTTTTCTATGAAATAGCTCCCCCTGCGAGAGTGAATACATATCCAGATGTGGATTTTTTATCATCTCCCGCAAAGTCGGAATCAGAATATCCCACTATATAGAGTGAATCTGATCTTCTATACGTCATCATGAGGCTTTTCGTTCTTTGCAAATAACGCAAGACTTTCTTTACCAATTTCCAGTGTTCTATTCCAGGATTGCTTTGGAATCTGCCAAGTAACCCGGTAACAAATGCCAAGTCAGGGCGTGTACATACTTGAGCATATTGCAAGCTTCCGACAGCTGAAGCATATGGAACCGTTTTTATTTGATCGATCTCATACTGATTCCTGGGGCATTGAAAATCCCCTTATCTGTCGCCCTTGACTATAGGAGCAGGTGAGGGACTATATTTGCGCATACTGAATTTCTTTAAGATCTTTTCTATATATGCCTTTTGTGACAGTCCTAATACCCATTTACTTCTATCTCGGTGAATCTCGATCCATAAAACGAATGAAGCTCCACCAAGATCTTTCATATCAAATTTTGAGGACAAAAACTTCTTTGTCTCCAGTAGTAGACTGACATCACTACTAGCAAGTAAGATATCATCCACATATAGGACAAGGAAGATTAACTTCCTATTCTTAAACTTTGCATAGACACAATTGTCCTCTACATTCTATTTAAACCTAAAATTTCTTAATGTCTGATCAAACTTAAAGTACCCTTTGTCTTGAAGCTTGTTTTAATCCATAAATGGATTTCTTTAGGCGGCATCCCATTCGTTCTTTTCCTTCTATGACAAAACCTTTCAATTGTGCCATGTAAACATTTTCCTCCAAGTCCCCGTTGAGAAATACCGTCTTTACATCTATCTGATGTAATTCTAAATCGTAATGTGCCACTAATGCCACTATGATTCGAAGGAATCCTTACATCGACTGGAGAAAATGTCTCATTGTAATCAATCCCCGATCCCCTCTCTTTGCGTAAAGCCTTTTGTCACAAGTCACGCTTTATATCTCTCTATATTCCCTTGAGAGTCAAGTTTTATTTTGTAGACCCATTTACAGCCTACTGTTTTGGCTCCTTTATAAATTATTTTCAAGTCCCAAACTTTATTGGCATTCATAGATTTCATTTCATCTTCCATGGCCTCAAGCCACTTTGATGAATGATCACTTCTCATGGCTTCTTCAAATGAGGTGAGATCATCCTCCATTTGAAATTCCTCAGTGTTGTATACTTCATAGTCAGCAGGAATAGCTGATTTTCTAACTGTTTGAGACCTTATAGGGGCCTCCACATTTGGCACATCTTCTGTTTGAGGCTATTGTTGCTCCCCCTCATATGTGGCAATAAGTTCTATAGGATCCTAAAGATCGTCATTCATTGTTGCCACAGGCGGAATAACAATAGGTGCTGGCACCACAGTATCTTGCACTGTCGGTGCAGCGACAGCAGGTAGTGAGAACTTCTCTTCAAGGTTAATTTCTCGAGCTACCATGCTCCCCCTCATCATTTCATTCTCTAGGAAGACAGCGTGTCTTGTTTCCATAAACTTTGTATGTCTGTCTGGACAGTAGAAACGAAAAACCTTTTGACTTTTCTGGGCAGCCAATGAAATGGCAACTTACTGTTTGGGATCTAGTTTCCTAATGTTTGGGTTAAATACTTTAGCCTCAGCAGGACTCCCCCACACACGTAAGTGGTTTAGTGAGGGTACTCTTCCTGTCCACAACTCATACGGTATTTTGGGTACCGACTTACTTGGTACTCTATTGAGAATATGAATGACGGTTTTTAACGCCTCCATCCACAGGCTCAACGGTAAGGTGGAGTAACTTATCATATTGCGCACCATGTCTATCAGGGTACGATTGCGTCTTTCAGCTACTCCATTCTGCTGAGGTTTGCCCGGTATAGAATACTGGGCTACTATGCCATTCTCCTGTAAGAACCTTGCATAACGTCCAGGAACTTGGCCATATAGGGTATGCCGACCGTAGTACTCCCCCCCACGGTCGAACCTGACTATCTTAATCTTTAAATTACGTTGGTTTTCAACTTCTGCCTTAAATATCTTAAATTTATCCAATGCTTCTGTTCTTTCTTTGATTGGATAAATATAGCAATAATGGAAGTAATCATCTGTGAATGTTATGAATGAATCATAATCATCCACACTCTTTACAGGAAACTGACCGTAGATATCTGTGTGAATAATCTGTAAAATTCCTGCGCTTCGTTTGACATCTTTCTTAATTTTCTTTACATACTTTCCTTTTATGCATTCTCTGCATTGTTCTAAATTTGAGAGCTTTAATGGAGGAAGAATATTATTCTTAACTAGTCTTTCTATTCTCCCCCTCAAAATATGGCCTAAACGACAGTGCCATAATTTCGACGACGCATCGTGAGCTCTCTTGTGCCACCATTTTCAGAGTAACTCTCTGTCACCAGCTGCTTTATCAGCTGGGTAGCATATGTCTTTGAAGAGTCAGTGACCTGACTCTTTATTCTATCGAGGTACTCGGTGATCGTGTCACACTCTGGGATTGAGCCCACAATTGCAGGCTCAATCGTGTTCTCTATCACAAGAAAATATTTTTTGTT